TATATCTCCGTCGTTTCATTTTAAAGATGCTTAATTGCCAGAAGTCTTGGCCGTGGCTCCTTCAGCTTCTGGAAGTTGTACTTCCACCTTGCGCAGATTTACCTCGCAAGCACAGCAGTAGCCTTTAATCTAGACTGGAAGCCCATTTCACGTGACCTCGAGTTGCTAAAATCTCCAGAAAGGGAGATTAATATCACGTATGATGTGGAAAGACACAACGGAGCGTTGAGCTGTGTTTACTCTCTTGTAAAACAAACAGTTTATATGATGTGAGGAGCTGCGGCATTCCTCTGCTCACCTACAAAAGATTCCATAACCTCCTCCTGCGGCTTGTGGGATCGCAATCATGATCGACCTCCCGATATCACCTCTCCCCAAACCCCTGCCGTCAGATAGAACACCTCAGGAAATTTTAAAGGTTTTCTTCAACCCAACAGCTGCTTTTACCTTCTCTGAGATTATAGTGCTGTATGTTCTGGAAGTTATGTTAAAGACAAATCCATTTTGATGTCAGTCGGTTTTGCTTTAAATACCATGGGTGAGAATATCACAATTACAAGTTGCTATGAGTATATCATTGCTGCAATGTCATTTGACGTTGATGTCGGCCTACTCACGAAAGTGGGTCTGAAGAATGGAAGTGCTTTGAATAACCTGTGAAAAGCGGATGACTCAAAGGGAGGTGGTGAGGATGTGGCACTCCTCTGCTAACTGTGGAGAGCGGACATGAGGTCAGCGGGTTGAAGTTTACCTTGTTATAATAAGGTACAGGTGGGCGAGCCGCCAGGTGCCCAGTCCCTTTGCCTGCGCAGTAATGAGTGCCGGAGCGGCTTGTAAGTTTGTAATTTGCTTTTTTGTGGGAGTCTTCCCTTCAAGGTATTTCTGTACCATGTCATCACCGCTTCCTACGTGATGCTGTTTAATACAGTCAGATTTGAGGATGGTCATCAGGTGAAGTCACCCCCGTCATATGACCTAGCCTGGATGATGCCACGTGATTATGGCATGGAAACATTCGTTTTACAGTGTTCCGCAGAGGCCAAATTGTGAAATCGGCATAAAGAAGCGGCAGCTGATGCTGGGAAGAGCATTCGGGCCGGGGATGGTGCTCAGTCGGAAGCCACCATGGGATTAACGTGTGTTAAGCTCTCTACTGTGGGCCTGCACCACGTACTCGCTCCACTCAGACGGCCAGCCTCGAGGAGTAGAGTCAGTGTTTCCCTGGAATCTTATGTGTTCCTGTGAAGATGTATGGGTATTCTTATGGCTTTGATCGCCATGGCTAGGTGTAAGTGCTGCATCTCACATGACAGGCTTCCAGGACCCTGAGAAATGGGCCTGGTGGACTGGTCATCCAGGACGATGTGACTCATGGAGATCTGGAGATTAGTGACCAGCTCTGTTTCAGTGAAGTTGTGTAGTATCAGGGCAGTGTGCTGCTCAGTGGGTTAGGGTTAGAGTTAGGGTTAGGGTTAGGCCGCTGAGCATGTGATCGGAAGGTTGCCAGTTCACACCCTGTGGTCAGCAGAATCACCCTTGGGCCCCTGAGCAAGGCCCTTAACCCCAGTTTCTCTAGGAACTGTCTGACCCTGTGCTCTCTATTCTTCCCTTTGGATAAAAGTGTTGGCTAAAAACATATAAATGTTAATATGTAAGGAAGCAAGGTTTTTTCTGAATTACGGGATACGTTTTTCGCTGAATTTTTGTGGGCCATTTTTCTGTCCTACCTTTCTGATTGCTCGAATGGCAGGATAATGGGAAGTAATTACTACTGCACGAACGTCAGAATGAAGCAGATCAATTATACATGGCGTCGTAGCCCAATGGGCCAGTTCTCCAGATGGGTGTAGACTGAAGGGCAGACGCTGAGTTCGGACCTCTGAGGGTCCGCATGGCTGTCATGCTGAGAAGCCCTCTGAGTCTGGAGGCGCATCTGAAATTGCATACTTACACAGTACGTACTGAATTAGTTAGAAGCCTACTACTTGACCGTTAGTGTAGTATGAGAACAGTATGCATGCACTCGAACATACTGCATTTGCATATTACCTACCCCGGGTATTTTACAATGATGTAGCTTGACCCCAGTGATAGGTAAAAATAATTGAAAACTATCAACAAAATAAGATACATATTCAATTCAACTTTTGCAACTGGGTATTGTTTTCTACTGACATTTGTACAGAGACGGCTCTTCCTCCGCCATCTTGACACAAATTTCTGAGCAAGCAGCAGTCTTTCATCTCTGGTCGCAGCTCCAGTGGCCTTGTGGGATAGCGTAGCATCCATCGGTTGCACACTTTGGAATTTCACAAAATGTAGTGTACCATCCGGGTTTCGTTCACCTACTGTCATCTATACTGAGGACATACTGCTCACTTCGCATACTATGTTTCGCCTACTATATAGTGAACAAGTATGTGGCTTTGTTTGTCTGGGTACAGCCAGCACTGAGCCCTTTCCCTCACATGTTTTGCCATCCTCGTCCTGGAGATGGCGCTGTTGTTTTCTGTGGGCCTCCTTCCGTTGAATGTGTCACGCCCCCCCCCCCGCTGGCGTTCTCCCAGGGACCCCTCACAGGTGCAGCCTCTCAACACACCCGTCGTGCCAGCACCGGTACCAGGGGCCCCGGCAGGCCCTCCCTCGCTGAACACCGCCAGTGGCATTGTTCCGTGACTGTGGTGTGGGGGCGGGCCGCTGCTGGGGGAAGCACCTGCGCGAGATGGACTTTCCAGAATGCCTGGTTGGCATGGCGACCTCTGTGCGCAACCAGTCTCGCCACCGGGGGGCCTGACTTTGATCCCGACCCCACAGGATGGGCCCTGCGTTCGTTCAGGCCCTTCTCTGTCCCTGAGCTTATCAAATGTAACTGATTTAAAACAAGAAAAACACACACCATTCTGCTGGCCAGCTGTCTTTGCGTCGGGGGGGGGGGGGGGGGCAGGGAAATACGATTCTTTCACAATGAAGGACGAGTGAAGCTGTGCTTCATAAAAAAATTGCGGGGGGGCTGATTTTCCTGGCACTCAGACCCCTCATTTCCTCCCCACTATGGAAGCAAAGGAGCCTTTTTAACAGTAATGTAGGCCCGGCCCGGGAAAGGCGACCCCTAGGCTTTTAGAGCAGCGTCCTCAGTGTTCAGCCCCCCTGTTCTCTGTGCTTCTGCGTTTCCACGTAGCCTGTCTAACAGGAATAATGGCCCGGGTCCCTGAAATATTAAAAGAGTTTCGAGTGCAGGAGGACGGCGTCGACAGGATGCATCAAGAGCTGCATCCATGAGCACGGGGGTCACAGAGCCTGAGTTCAAGCTTATTTTGACATTATTTACTACCTTACGGCAGGAGATTGGTTCCAGTTGATTGGGTTTAAAAAGTGAGCGACTCAGCTAGATGGAATGGCGGTTAAGTGAACCCAAAATACTACCCAGTCTGGCTGTCGCGTTCTGTCACGATTTATACGTGTTTGTAGTTTTTTGGCACTTCAATTCTCTGTTCTCCCCTCTAGCCACTTCTGTTGTTTTTTTCCCCTTCTTATGAGCGAGAAGATATGTGCTGCCTTTGAGTTTAACCTCGCGTTTTCATCACCCTGTACGCTTTATTGGGTGTTTAATAACAGGCAGTGGAAGGGACAGCCACGTGGGGTCCTCGGCACGCTGACACGGACCCAGTTCAGAAAAGGGCCGAAAGAAGGTGCCTCCTGTGTTCTGGGAGTGTGACTCTATGACGTAGAGGTGAAATACGAGGGGCCTAGTGTCTCCGGGGGGTGGAGGGGGGCTATGAGCAGGGGAGAACCCTGAGAATATGTCGCAGGAGGAAGGGGCTGGGGGCTGTCTGGGCGCATCCCTGGCAGACTGTACCCTGCGACTCCCCTTTGGGGGGGTGAGGCAGGATGTTTATCGTCTTCTCATACGTTGCGGTTCCTCTCTCTCACCTAACCAGACTTTGGAGAGTCACCTCGACGTTGCAGAGCATGGAGCTGCCGGCTTCCGGGGCATGATGGTGTGGGGAGGCCAGGCCCCTCCCTCCCCCGTGACCTCAGCTGTAATGCTCCCGGCCCCAGAATGATCTCTGTACATAAGCCCGAAACATCGCCGAAACGATGAAGAGCGTCGAGCAGTGATTATTTTTATTCATGTTGCATACACTCACAGATGCATGCTGCAGTGTCGCTGATTGTCCGCGTGATACTTTCCTTGTGTTCTGTCATCGCCTGAAAGTGCGAGGTCATCCTCACCCTCACGCTCCGCACATCCTGTCACCATGTGCGAACAATTGCTTTTTTTTTTCTATTCTTCTGCTGTGACATGAGCCCAGATCCGACGCTGACTTATCCCTGGTGACGTCGGGATGAGGGGTGTAGGGGCTGTAGCCTGACTCATTCTGCCCTCAAAACACCCCGCCCAGCCCACCACCTCCTGCGGTGATCTCGGCCACGCTCATTCTGGGCCCACGCTTTCGCCGTGGGTTTCTCACCCCTCTTGGCTCCATGGAAGTCGTCTTGGAGACGAACCGGCTGGCTGCACCGTTTCTATACTGTTGGAGGCATCATATCATTTTTAAACGACATCCCTGAACTAACGATGGGTCAAGTTGGCTCATCGTGGCGTATGAGGGTTCGGCCTTGTTCATTCGCCGTTTCGTCTGTTTGCCTGACAAAGATGGAAGGCCCGATCTTGTGTACGTTAACTGAAACTGGTGCTAGCTCTGCTTCTAGCCATAGGGTGTGATTCGGCACCTCGGTGTGAAAGCGTTGGCTGGCGGGTGGGTGAGAATGACGCCGGATGACAGTGGGGGTAGGGGAGTGGGGATTGCGGACAGCTCCACTTAGTTCCCAGCTGTCACCGTTCGTTACGGTGTTCGTCATCACATCCGTTACGGATCCGGCAGCACGGGCCTGAAGGAGATCAGCCATGTTGCCCCCGAACCTTGGATGAAAGTCCGTGATCTAAGAGCAGAAACAGGATACTTGCTGATGACTATCCCGTCTCCTCCTCTTCCCAGTTCCCGGAGTGCGGCTTCTTCGGCCTCTACGACAAGATCCTGCTGTTCCGGCATGACCTGAGCTCCGACAATGTGCTGCAGCGACTGACATCGGCTGAGGATATCCACGAGGGGGACCTGATTGAGGTCGTCCTCTCTGGTGAGCATGGTCGCCGTGGTTTGTGGTAACCCCAGTCTGGGACCACATCAGAAGCCCCCACTGAGAGTCCCTTTCCGTGTCTCTTGTTCTGGGACAGTGTCTTCAGTAAGGTTTATGGTTTTGATAAAATTGTAGTCAGGTAGAAAGCAGGATATCAAAGACATTTGTTATGAAATTATTTTATGTAATTATATTTTGAAATATATTTTATACATTACATCGTGGTTCTTCCAATCTGGACCTCAATTCCAAATCCAGGCCTTGTTTTCAGTTCTCCCAGGTAGTTAGTTTAATAATTTCTGATTCTGATTGGTCAGAGGCTTCACACCTGACTGACAGGTAAAGGAAGGCTTGAAAACCAGTAGTGCTCGGACCTCGAGGACCGTGATTTGAATAACCCTGCACTACATGGACAAAAGTACTGGGACACCTGGCCAATACACCTATAGGATCTCTTATGACATCCCATTCTAAATCCTCAGGCACTGATATGGAGATTGCCCCCCCTTTGCAACTATAACAGATGCCACTCTTCTTGGAAGGCTTTCCACAAGTTTATGGAGTGTGTCTGTGGGAATTTCTGCCCATTCATCCAGAAGAGCATTTATGAGGTCAGGCACTGATGTTGGATGTGAAGGCCTGGCTCACAATCTCAATTCTTGTTCATCCCAAACGTGTTTGATGGGATTGAGGTCAAGACTCTGCACGTCAGTCAAGTTCTTCCACACCAAACTCACCCAAGCATGTCTTGGTGGACCTTCCTTTGTGCATTGAGGCACAGTCACGCTGACAGAGAAGGGCCTAAACTGTTCCCACAAAGTTGGAAGCATAGAATTGTGTAAAATATCTTGCCATGCTGAAGCATTAAGTGATCCCTTCACTGTAACTACGGGGCCAACCTCTGTAAAACAACCCCATACCATTATCCCTCCTCCACCAAACTTTACAGTTGGCACAATGCAGTCAGGCAGGTAACGTTCTCCTGGCATCTGCCAAACCCAGACTCGTCCATCAGACTGCCAGACAGAGAAGCATGATTCGTCACTCCACAGAACACATTTCCACTGCTCCAGTGTCCATTGGCAGTGTGCTTTACACCACTCCATCCGACGCTTGGCACTTTGCTTGGTGATGTGAGGCTTGCATGCAGCTGCTCGGCCATGGAAGCCCATTCCATGAAGCTCCCGGCGCACAGGTTTTGTGTTGGGATCAATGCCAGAGGAAGTTTGGAAGTCTGCAGTTATTCAGTCAACAGAGCATTGGCGACTTGTACACACTAAGTTGTGCTGCTCTTTTAGTTACAGAAGTGTGGTCATTGATTTTTGCTGCCGTTATGTTTTTACATTATTGAAAAACGTTAAATATGAATGGATGACAGAACAAATAATTTAAGACATAACATTACGTGGCATATGCAGGGCACAATGAAGAGATGCGGGCAGTTTTTAAGCTGTAAGAAAATACAGCTTGACTTGGAAGGGTATGTCAGAAACAGTGTGGCTAGGTGCTTTGGCAGTGGGTTTGAGTGAAATACCAGAATTCAATGATTTAGAGGTGTGTCCCGATACTTTTGTCCATGTAGTGTGTGTCTGTGATGGGTTGGTACCCCATCCTGGGTTATTCCCTGTTGTGCCCATTGGTTTTGGGCTTAGGCCCCAGACCCCCGTAACCCTGTATAGGTCAGGAAGTTGAATGAATGAATGAATGAATGAATGGCCATGGGAGATGAATGGATTTAAATGCTGTCTCCAGTAGGAGGTGCTATGTCTCAGCTGCCTGTGCAGTGGTCTAAGGACAGAGGGGCAACTCTTCACTACAGTAGCTGTGCTGTTGTTGGTAAGCTGTTAGGGAGTTTTGGCAGCAGACACATCCTCCAAAATAAATAAAAGTGGCTTCCGGAAGGATTTTACCAGGAAGTGTTTTGTCCTTCCTCATCCGGACTGTGCTGTTGTCTTCTTTCTTAGCCCCCCAGGTACAAAACTTAACCAGGGCCCAACATACCTCAAAAACCTTTATCTCTTTTCGGTAGAGAATACCAGAGTATTGAGAGATAGCAAAACGTGTCGCTATGGTGCTACTGTGGGCCGCTTCCTCTCAGCTTTTTTTGGTGCAGGGTGCCGATCTTGAGAGAAATGTGAAAAAAAAAACCACTCACCACAGCCTGCAACGTACTGGGCTTTCCTGCAGACGCATAGCTGGCGGCACTAAATATACCTTCAGCTTGTCTCTGCACAGTGTGGTCTTGTTCTGCACAGGCCCTGTCTGTTATGGTGAGATGGACAAGCGACCTGCCTGTATCTCACAATGCCCACCTTCCAACCAACTCTCTCTGTAGAAACCCTAAGTATGCCTTATTGGACCTTTGTGTCCCCCGCTCAGATTTTGTGTGTATGTCAAGAACAGCTGTCAAATGTGTGTCCATGTGTTACATACAGCCACGGAACCACAGGACACCTCATGCCTCTTAGGGCAGGTTGTGTCAGGCTGGGGTGGTGCCCTCTTCCACGACCTCATGCTGGCTTTCGCAGATGTCTATTCAGGCCTTTCCTGGACTATGGTGCTCGTCGGTGTTGATGTGATAGGGGGCTGTGCCATTTTCGGTGGCAGCAGAGGTTATGTAGGGAACTTCTCAGAAGGTTTTCTCCTCATATTGCTGGTCTCCAGTTGTTTTCGCCTTTTGCCCGTAAGACCTTCAGCAATGTAATGATGAGCTTAAGTTCTGCATTGTTCTTGACTTTTCTTTATAAGGAAATTTTCAGGAATCTCGCCCCACACCCCCGTTACTATAAAAATGACTTATTGCCAGTTGAAGAATTGTGGGTTTCTTTTCTGATTGTAAAAATCCATTTATCCAGATGCTCTGTAAATTGTATAAAGAAAACACTGTTGCCAAGGTCTAGTTCTTGGTGTTTATCTTTTGTTTTATGATTTCTCTGCACAAACTTGTTTACTATGCAAGATAGAGAGTCTTTCAGGAGGTGAAATCCTCCCTGTCCTGTGGCAAACAGCAAACATGTTAATGTCTGTTCGAAAAGACGAAATTAGCACCAATTTCACATTCAAAGTAAGTCGCTGGAATGTTGTTGTCATGGCACTGCAAACAGACCAATGTGTTTGTTCCATTTCCCCCGAAATTGTTTGTCAAAAATATAGTTACTTAGGTTTTGTTTGAAAGCAGGAACTAGGAAGAGTTGATTATTTGAACTTTTACTTAACGTGGTACGTGTGACAGACCAGCGCTGATTGGCTTTCTCAGAAAAACCAAACGCTTGTCACGAAGACAGAATCAATCAGCTATTTCCATTCATGTCAGCTGGACCCTGTGCAAATATAAAGCCAACCCCCGCAGCCTACTTGGTGATTTGGGTTAGATCCTGGACTAGGGAGCCCGGTTATTGTTGGCTGGTGTTGGGATCTCCTGTATCCTGAGGCATAAATCTGGGTTAGGGAGATGGCCCTGTGAGGGGGGGATGCTTAAGTCAATGTAACTAGTGCCTGTAGCCTCGGTACTGAGGATTATGACCACGTTATGGGGGGAGCTGAGGGCGTGGCAGAACTGGGGGGGGGGTTCATGCTCATCAGAGCCAAGGTATGTTGGTTCTTTGCAGTCATGGTTTTGTCAACAAGCTGATTTTCCTTTCAGAGGCTTCGAAAGGTCACTTGTTCGCGTTATGTTCGTGTGGCTGACAAGATGCTGGATTGCAGTGTGTAATGACGCAATTTCACAGTAGCATAGAGGTATTATTAATTTAGAATAATAAGTTGGTACCAGGGGAGATCTGGATTGGGCGTTTTGTGCCTGGCTGTCTGTGCCTGTAAGAAGGACCTTGTATCTAGAGTGTGATGCCGTTCGGTTTTCACAACGTCTCTGCAGATTGATTTTTTCCAGGTATATTCTTCTTGTGATTAGATAGCAGACACTTTCTGTCAGGTCTCGTCATGTGTGGCCCAGAATGTCTGTCATACAGGAAGTGATGTCAGCAGAGCCCCCACTAGACTAAGCACTGGTTATCTTGCAAGCTTTTTTTTTTTTAATCCACCTTATGTATGTTATGCTCAGTCGGTCTGTGTTTTTGAAGGAAGGTTAATGTAACATTTTTGAATGAAGGCTGACAGTTTTCTTGAAATCACAGTCAGGAGCAGCTGTTTGTGCACCTTTGCACCATTCTGTAATGTTCCTGTTCCAACACTGACCCGACATCGCAAGCACAGCGAGGTCCCGACTGGGGGACTCGGTGGCCAATAAGGCAGTGGTAGAGGACACCTCTGGCGGGTTACAATCTCGCCACTCTGCTGGAGCACAAAGCAGACTGGCCTTCAGCTGCATTGCTTTCTATGAAGCTATGCTTGTGGTGAAAAGCTTGCCTAGATCCTGCATTCGTGAGTAACACTGCTATAGGTGTCTATTGTGAATAGATTCAGCTTGTATCCAGCTGTGTAAACGGGTGCATTTATCCAGACCAATAGCTGCAGTCAATAATAATAATAATAATAAATTAATAATGAGCATGGTTCATAGAGTTCCGTAAAAGCAACAGAAAGCAGTGTGCTGACGAGGAGATTTTTATTTAACCTTGTGTCTCCGCTATAAACATAGTTACAGGACTGTCTTATAGAGTTACCTGGTAAGTTCTTCCCACAGCACAGTCTATGGCTTCCCAGACTTGTGTTTCGGTTTAATGTTTTGTGCAAACACTTCTCTCCCTTCGTCTGTGGTGATTTCCTGCACCCCCGACTGCAGTGCACCCTTTATTTTGCTAGAGAGAATGCATAATGTGATAAGCCACAGGCCCCCGTAGGCCCTGGGGGAGGGAAAAGGCTCATATTCTGCCTTAGTCAGTCAGAGAAGCACGCTGCAGAAACCCCCACCACTTCCTACCTTATGTCGCTCTCTCCTTGCTGTACTGTTCAATTAGAGTGTCCCCTACTGTCAGAATTCTGTCACTGCAGCACGACCCTCTAGCTATTTACTCAGTTCACGGTGTAATTAGTTTACACTTTACAAGGCCCTTGTATTGTCGTAAGGGCTGTGGTGCTTTCCATTCGCTGGACTCTATAATGTGTAACTGTTTTGGTAAATGCATTACCCTCGTTTCACTTATTTTTTTACGTCAAACATAAATGTAATTTCAATCTTGGTTTTTGACCCCTGGATCAGCTAGCTTATTTTTCCAAATGTTTTTCAGTGGGGACATGACTAATCCACTGCTGTTGCATAATGCAGCGTTGATAAAATAATGCAATATGTAATGGAAAATTAACCTAAACACAAAGCAGTAGCAGTGTGGGAAAATAGAAGAGAATTTCTTTATTGTCGTTGTACAGGTAGCAAGTAGAATGAAATTCAGTCTTTGCAGATTCCATCCTGTTCAGTTATGTTTTTATTTTGTATTGCATCCCTGTTTATTTATTTATATTTTATTTGACATTTTATTAATTTGCTCATTTATTTATACATTTCTCATTCAAACTTTTTTTGACCTGTACCTTAGTTGCATACTGTGTTCCTTATTTTAATCCCACATGTATGAAAAGTGCTTTGTAAATAAAGTTTACATCCGGAAACAGAAGAGTGACTCAGTTTACCACCCACGGGACTCAAACCCATGACCGTCTGGTCACAGGTACAGAGTCCTTATCCCCAGAGCCACACACAATGTATGATAATGATTCATGAAATCTGAGTTCTGTTTTCTTCCTGCCCGCCTTGCAGCTCTCGCTACTGTCGAGGACTTCCAGATCCGGCCCCATGCCCTGTTTGTGCACTCGTACAAGGCCCCCACCTTTTGTGACTACTGTGGGGAGATGCTGTGGGGTCTAGTTCGTCAGGGTCTCAAATGTGAAGGTGAGTGCAAGACCCCGGACCACTGGCAATGCGGCCCACATACGTGGACACTCACGTGGATGTAAACCGTCTGGCTGACGCACTAACACACATGCAGACAAAGCAGCAGGGTTACCTGTGCACTAAAGAACGCCTAAGTGCGGTGGTAGGTGCGTTAGCATCCGTACATAAGACCGTTATCATGGAGACCAACACAGCCACAGAATATCCACAGACTGGCCCTCTGGCCACTGTTTACGACACAGCCAGGGGGCAGCAGCAGCCTCAGAAGTTTACGCGAAGACTCCAAGAGAAGTCAGCCGTCACGTTTCTGCACTCTGCCCTGGGGATGGGGGCAGTGGGCGGGGGTCGATGGCAGCACATGGCGCTGAGCTGCAGGGTACCCCCACCGAGCGTGCGACTTCCTGCCATTACAGAAAGAGGCCTTTGAAGCCCAAATCTGGATCTTTGAATGGAGTCCAGCGTGCGTCGGCAATCGCCGGACGGGATCTTCAAACGGCGCTGGTGAAACCGGGCGGAGCAGTGCCATGTGCTGCCACTCTTCCCTCCCCAGAAGGCAGGGCAAGCGGAGGGTCAGGGGTGTAAAATTTAAGGGCATGGCACGGGGAGTACACTGCCTGCTCATATCCACTCCACCATTAACTGAAAAAGGTAGCATTAAAATGTTCTAGCTGAGTTATCAAATTATGATGATAACACTATTCAATGGCTTCTTAGACAGAAACTTGATGATTGTAACTTCAGTGTTCAGAGAGTGTTTCAGAGAACATTATCAAACTGGTTATTAGCATGGGTTTATGCTACATTTACCGTTTATAGGCTCTAGTGAGACCTCTAGTGGCTAAAGTTGAGAATTAAACCTTCAAATAAAGCTCAACTGAATTCTTGATTTTCTAAATGAATTCTGTCTATAAGATACAAACGTTATATTATACTTCTGAGACTTCTGTGGGAGACTCACTCTGCTGTGATTCCTGGTAGGATGTGGGCTCAACTACCACAAACGCTGCGCCTTTAAGATCCCAAACAACTGCAGCGGGGTACGGAAGCGCCGCCTGTCCAACGTGTCCCTGCCAGGGCCTTCGCTGTCGGTCCCTCGGCCCACTCCAGCCAAACATGTTGCCGTGGCACAGGAGGAGGTAGGTCCATTATTTTGCGGCCCGCTCATCATTTAAACCCAAAAAGCGCCTGGGTGTTTGTATCCCAAGATGAGCACTGCTGTTGGACAAAATGAAACGTGCTTAATTGGACTGTCTTCTGAACCTGTCCAGAAGCATAAATGGCTGACAGTGTAATATTGTGAACTCCAAGTAAGGAAGTATGTTGGGCCAATAAGTAGCAGAAACAGAGGAAATCTTGTGCTCTAGCCATAGGTGGATACATGAGTCATGAGGTGGACACAGAACAGATGTTTCTGATCAAGCCTTCAAAGGAACATCATTAATTGGGAAGAGATACGGCAATGTCTTTTGATTTGGTTGAGTTTGTGAGGGCCTAAGATCATGGTCTTGGTCCAAGAAAAATGGCAGGAAGTTATATGTCAAGTCCTTTTCATCTTGTTGCCAGTTTTGAAACAGCAATGATTCATCTGGTTTCAGTAATACATGTACATGTATGCCATCTCTTTAGCAGGAAAAAGTCGCAATATGTCTGAAACTGTTAGCATCGATCAGAGGAAGATATATGCATGTATACTGATAACCATATGGGTCCAAGACTGGTGCCTTGAGGAACACCGCCACTGACGTTAATGTATTGGATTGTGTGATGGATAAGGACATTGCCTTGTAATCTGAAGGTTTGCAGGACCTTGTTGTTCGACCCTTCAACATGGTTGTCATCCTGAAATGTTCTAATAAAATCCTTCCACTATATAGATGGGTTTTGGAAGTCTTTGTCCCTTATTGTTTAGTTTTGTCAAAATTACAGGTCACATGCTCCTCATATAGTCTTATTGATATTTTTTGTTTTATTCCGCTGTTGTTCTTTTAATCCCTACCTCTTAAATTGACTCTAAGCTTTGCTTGTAACACGCTGAGTACTTGTACACTTTGATTGCAAACCCTTCTGTGTTTCTTCTTAAAAAACGCTGTTGAGAGCTATCTTTGTAGAAGTTTTATATCCATCCTTAATTGTACTTACCTTTGATTGATTACATTTTGGCAAAATATTTCGTGACGGTTGCCTGTGCTGAACCTAAACATCCCCGCATACAATTCCGTCTCCCCCTAGCAACGGTCGCACCAGGAGGCGGGGAAGCGCATCCCGTCGTGGAGCGGCAGGCCTATCTGGATGGAGAAGATGGTCCTGGGTCGGGTGAAGGTGCCCCACACTTTTGTGGTGCATTCATACACACGGCCCACTATCTGCCAGTACTGCAAATGCCTGTTGAAGGGGCTCTTTCGCCAGGGCATGCAGTGCAAAGGTGGGGTCTCTAGGCAAACTTTACTAAACCTTACTAAACCGTACTGCATCATTCACTAAACACACCTGAGAATTCATACTCGTTACTCATAAATCTCCACTGGGACAAATTGACATTTTTCCCCAGGTCATAAGGCTCCTAAACCAGGACAAGTCTCAGTGCCCCTAGGTCTTCCACTGGACTGTACAGTGACTCTTCAGTCACTTTAACACTGACATCACTCTGTGCACACTGTGTACGAGAGCCCATAATCCTATGAGTACTGTTTACATTCATGAATAAACCTCTTGAATCTTGACATCTGCATTACTCTACAATCACTGCTTAAAATTGCTTTTTTTATTTATCACTTTTCATTTCAGATTGCAAGTTTAACTGTCACAAGCGGTGTGCATCAAAAGTACCCAGAGACTGTCTTGGTGAAGTTGTGTTCAATGGAGGTAAGCACTTTTTGAATCACTGATCAGTGATCACCACTGTACAGTGGAGAGCTTCGGAGAACCATATTAGCACAGAGCAGAACCATGTATTCTAGAACACTGTAATGGAATTTGTCTGAAAATTATATTTAGACTTTGGCAGGAGAAGAACCATAGCAGCAGAATGTATGCTTAGTGGGCAGCTCTGCTGCCATTTTGATGGTTTGGCTCCAACCCCCAGAGCCAGCAAGCCCAGGGCCGGACTCTGATACCACCATGGAGGTGGACAGCAACGACATGAACAGCGATGGCAACCGAGGCTTAGATGACCCTGAGGAGCCCTCCACTCCAGAGGAGAAGATCTTCTTCATGGACTCCCCCTATCTCGATGGAGAGAAGGACGAGGAGCCGGTGAAGACCATCAGGTAGCTGCTCTGTCGAACTCAAGAAGTGTCTCAAGACTAAACATTCCGGCGTTGTTCGACCTGAACCATTCCTGCGTGTGCCGTCCTCAGCCCCTCAACCAGCAGTAACATCCCCCTGATGCGAGTGGTGCAGTCCGTCAAGCACACCAAGAGAAGGAGCTCCACCGTGGTGCGGGAGGGCTGGATGGTACACTATACCAGCAGAGACAACCTGGTGAGGGCGGGGCCCGGACGGCTCTCCGGGGGGGCCCACAGGGATATCTGCAGGTCTTTCTTCTCTAAAACCTCCAGGCCCGTGAATAAGAGAGAGCCTGTTCTATGGCATCATTGGCTGTACTTTCATCTCCGTCATCGCAATCCATACGTATCTTTTATATGTAAAAAATAGAAAAATAACTATGATTTTATCTTACATTTATTTATCAGGATATTTATTTGTCCAGACTGACTTACAGTCAGTTCATACAAGTACAGAAGTAACTGCATTAGCCTACACTACCAGCCAAAAGCTTTTGCACACCACTGCTTTTCACTACTTTTCCAATTATTTCATAAACTGCAGATTTTTTATTCTTGTTAAGAATTGGAAAGTTGAGTGAACAACTGTAAAGGAAAATCTAGGTCAAATAAAACAAGTTTCCTTTAAACATGGGAAGAGTATGTAACAGTGCACGTCTGACATCCTGCGGTTATGTGGAGATGGCGTAGTCAAATTCTAGGCTGTCCTTTAACTTTAAATGCATTAGTTAACTGTTTCATCCCCTGAAACACAGCAGTCCCTTGTAGGAAGAAGAATGCCTCAAATTTTCTCTGCTGTTATAACTGCTAGAGGAGATTACTTTGATAAATTAAAGATATTGCAACTTTATTTGTCAGTAAAGAATACTGAGTGTACGTTTAGTAAATATTAAGTAACATGCAAATGTAGAAAATCTCAATGTGTGCAAAACTTTTGACTGGTAGTGTATACTGCACTATACTGTTGAATATAATACTGTGGCATGCTATACTATAAGTCTACTACAATTTACCATACTGTAGTGAAATAAGCTTTTAAAAGACTTTTAGTCATACAGTCTCTAGCACTGACACAATATGCTTTTTAGAGCAATGAAGAAACATGTCAAAGGAGTAGCGACCCCCCACCATGAAGACCAGTGGATATCTCTGAGTGGTATCATGCGAGTTCCTGGTTGTTGGGCTGACTAATCTCTGCTTCTCACTTCAGAGGAAGAGGCATTACTGGCGGCTAGACAGCAAGAGCCTGACGCTCTTTCAGAATGACACTGCAGCCAAATACTACAAGGTGGGACATCTACACTCTTTCTCTACCTCCTTTGGGCAGGGGTATATACTCGGGCGGGGCCAGAGGGACACTGGCGCCACCTGAAAGATGATTGGCCCCTGGATGGGCCCCCCTCTCTTATCACACACCGATGCAAAACATATCATTGGCTAATGATAAGATAAGATTGGCCCCCGGTATGAATTTTGGCCCTTCTTATGCCCACTGCATTAAAAATTCCTAGTATCACCCCTGCCTCTGGGGCTCTGCGGTGCAGATGTCGCCCCTTTCAGAAAACCGCCTGGTACTTCCTGTTTACGTCAAACGAAATACCACGGCACGACTGCTGTAGGGCCCCTAACCTTTGTATTTTTAATATTTCTGCATTAATTTTTGCATTTGCGGAAGGATTCTGAGTGATGAACTTGAAGCTATTGGCGATATGCATACAAAAAGGTCATCCTATCAGGGCACGCCCACGTTGTCTGACTAAAAGAGGAATGTAGGTTTTACTGCGGTGAACTGTCTTGGTGGGGGGCCTTAACGACCGCGTGGTCAGTGAAAAATCCCCTTGAGACCGCTAGTTTCCCTTAGAGTGAAAGGGCTTTCACTTCTCTGTCAGTTCAGCTGCGAAAATTCCCAGTAATTCCTGTCCTTACTAGTACAGCTGAAGCCTCTTTCAATTAAAAAGAAAAAATACTCTTGGTTTTTACTCACTTTATTGCTTATTTTGATCTTTGCTTTAATAATAACTGTTTTTGTCCTTGTATCACAGGGACCCTCTGAGAGATGAGTCCTCAAACTCATCATTATTAATGTTTTATGTTTACATAGATGTTATATGCAAAGTTTATGACTTTGCTTATTACATAATAAATGCAGGTTTTTGCCGTGAATTAGTTGGTCTCAGGAATCTTTAAGTTGGTCTTAAACGATAGAAGACTGCAGACTTAACTATCTTTTAGCCCAGTGTTTCCCAGTCCGGTCCTCAGGAACCCACAGTCGTTCCACATTTTTGCTCCCTCTGATCTTCCTGCCAGACAGTCCACATTTTTGCTCCCTACCAGCAAAAATGTGGACTGTCTGTGGGTCCACAAGGACTGGATTGGGAAGCACTGTTTTAACCTCTCGTACTAACAAAGTGCTGGAGAGACAGACAGACATTCAAAACCTACAGATGTCTCATGATAAGCTGAGTAACACCGAGAGGGACATGAAACATTATCCAGTTTGACTGATTGTAGCACATCTCGGATCATGATGCATTTACCTCACATATCATACCTTCAGTGGGGACAGGTTTTGTTTTTTATTATTTTACATCCTATTAAAAAAATACCAGATCAGTTTTGTTTTCAGTCTTTTTGAGTTGTGCTGGTTTGAGGTCATGGCTAATTCCATTAAATGGTATTGAGTGGGATACCTCCTCCCCCCTGCACATATACTATATTCACAAAAGTTTTGGGACATTAAAGTCAGGTCTTTCATTCAGACCATCACCACAGGTGTAGAAAATCAAGCACCTAGCCATACAGTCAGGTTTACAGTACAAACATTTCTGAAAGAATGGGTCGTTCTGAAGAGCTCAGTGAATGCAAGTGTGGTGCTGTCATAGCATGCCACCTTTGCAAATGGTCAGTTCGTGAAATTTCTTCCATGCTAGATACTCCATGATCGACTGTAAGTGGTATTATTGCAAAGTGGAAGTGTTAAGGAACAGCAGGAACTCAGCCACAGAGTGGCCCCCAAGTGCTGTGCTGCATAGTGCGTAAAAGTTGCCAACGCTCTATTGACTGAATAACTGCAGAGTTCCAAACTTCCTCTGGCATTGATCTCAACACAAAACCTGTGCGCCGGAAGCTTCATGGAATGGGCTTCCATGGCCGAGCAGCTGCATGCAAGCCTCACATCACCAAGCGCAATGCCAAGCGTCGGACTGCCAATGGACTCTGGAGCAGTGGAAACATGTTTTGTATAGTGACGAATCACGCTTCTCTGTCTGGAGTCTGGGTTTGGCAGATGCCAGGAGAACGTGAAGGGAGTTTTTAATGCTTCAGCATACCAAGACATTTTGGACAATTCTGTGCTCCCAACTTTGTAGGAACCGTTTGGGGAAGGCGTCCCTTTTCTGTCCCAGTATGACTGTGCCCCAGCGCACAAAGCTAGGTCCATACAGACATGTTTGGGTGACTTTGGTGTGGAAGAACTTGAATGACCTGCACAGAGCCCTGACCTCCCATCGAATACCTTTGGGATGAACTAGAACCAGAACAACTACGAACCAGACCTTCATGTCCAACATCAATGACTCATAAATGCTCTTCTGGGTTAATGGGCAAAAATTCCCACAGACACCTTCCAAAATGTTGTGGAAAGCCTCCCCAGAAGAGTGGCAGCTGTTGTAGCTGCAAAGGGGGGACCAGCTACATATTGACGCCTATGGAATTAGAATGGGACGTCGTAAAAGTTCCTGTGGGTGTTATGGCCAGCTGTCCCAATACTTTTGTCCATATAGTGTATCTCCATGCATAAACTGCGTACGTTTGTAAGTAAACAGATATATTATTATGAGGTGTATGAATGCAGCGTTAAGATTCAGTGTGGGTGACAGCAGTGTTTGCATTTGATTTGACACCACGTGGAAGGATTTCCCCAGTGAAACATCAAGCCGGTGTAAAGTTTATCACTTAGTCATATCTGAAATCACATTGAATATGTGAGAGCCCACTGAACACGGCACCTGTGCGTCGCCTCAGCATGACTCTCGCATTAGCAACTGCCCCTTTCGCCCATGTACGTGATAGCGGGCATGAGAGGGGCCACCGAGCCCCCCAGAAGCCCCCGCCTGGGGTCCCGTTAGCATCCTCGCAGTGGCTTTATAGCACTGTAATTGGGAAATAGCTCCCAACCACCCAGGACCCCACCCTGCCTCGGACCCAGTAAAATGCTTCCAAATGTGATCCAGGCTTGTGGTGTGTGTCAGAGCAGTGTGCGTTTGTCGGGGCACGTGTGCATCCGCCTTATCGGAAGACTCTTCACACCTGTAGATATGTGTGTCTATTTCTCTGTAGTATGATATTTGAGCCATCCTGGTCTGAAAAATCGCTGTTTTTATTCCTGCTACTGCTTGTATAATTTTTTTCAGGAGGTTGGTACGTTATTTCGTAAAGTTTTGCCTGGAAAGTTTTGCCCCCGTTGGTGTGAGATGTTAGGTGGTTTTGAGGGCTATTCCCTTCACTGGGAAGTCTGCTGTAAGTTGTGGGCAGTAGTTCTGGCCAAGGTGCATTCTCTCTATAAGAACGGAAATAGATGTCATTCATAACCCTCTGTTCAATTCGCAAAAGCGCATTTAAGGGAATTTGCTTTTAGTGTGAAATACAGTAGCTAAAATAATGACTTGATGTTCGGAGGAGATCTGAAAAGGGGTGAGTCGCATAACCCTTGTGGTTTTCAGCCTATTGAAAAAAAAATGAAGAAATCACAATGATAAGCACTATTTTAGTTGAGGGGGGTGTCCCCAAGGAGCCTCTGATTGACTTGTATTTCGGGGTGAATTTGCATAGCCTGACAGTAAGTATGTAACAGGGCTATTTTTTTGCTTGGTCAGGGAACTCCAATCCTTTTCTTCCCCCCCCCCACGGCCACCAGATCTATTTATTTTTACTGTCTTCTCCCAGCAACTTTCCTTTGCTTTACTGGGACTGCAGGGTGTGTTCAGGCGTCGTTTCATAAGGGTGTTTATTATCAGCTTGGCGCTGAACCTGCTTTGGGACAAAGAGGTGGCTAATTGAAGGCTAGCAGCCCGTAAAGGGCTTTTTGTCAGCTCTTCTGGCCGCCACGCTTCTCACGGCGTGCGTATGTGTGTGTGTGTGTGTGTTTTAACTGGCCTGCTCTTTTTAGAACGCCTTGGTGTGGAGAAGCGTGTAGCTCGGTTGTTTCTTCCTGGGGTGTCTCTCTTCGGTTCTGACCTTACGATCGGCCGCTCGGCCTCTCAGCCGCTCCCGGCGAGGTTTCCCCACAGCGTGTGTCTGCCTCTCATTTTCATCCCTTGCTTTTCCATGTCCATTCTGAATGGGAGCGATTTCACTGCGTTTCTCTTTTTTATACATTTGGAAGCTATAGAAGCTGCTTCTTTGAAGCTGGGACCCCTGTACTTGTGGTTTTTTTGCACTGCCTCCCTGACTAGTTGGTGGGGGGGGGGGGGGGGAGCAGAGCTACCCTTGGGGACCCTGGGGCTCCGGCGTCCCCTCAGGGCCACCCCGGAACAGCAGCCGCTCTGTCTCTTCGGCTGCCAGTCTGGCTCATGCCCAGGTTTTTTATTTATTTTTTTTCCAGCATGCCCTCTAATCAGAGAGCACTTCAGTGGGGGGCGTTGAGGGAGGAGGGGCGGGGTCACGTGGTTGGTGCTGCAAACCACAAGCACTTCATCTGATCTCCGCGGCGAGAGCGCAGGCACGCTCCGATTGGCCGGGGAGGGCTTTGGTGGCTCTCTCTATGTGCTCGGCGGCACAGGCGAAGGGGACGGCACAATCTTTAAGTCGGCCGAGCCGTTGGCGCCTCATTTGCCTGCCGGGGCCCGACAGGGGACGGATACCAGAGCGCTTCCCGGCTTGCAGACACAGGTGGCGGCGTCAGGGGCGGGGCGAGAGCGGGGTAGACTGCAGTGACTTCCCTGCCAGGCGCCTGCCCCTCGTGACAGTGGGACTCTAACGGATAACCTCCCCTCGCCGCCCCCACCACGCAGGAGATTCCCCTGTCAGAGATCCTGCAGGTGGAAGCCGCGAAGGACTTCAGCAGCCTGGCCCAGGGCAGCAATCCCCACTGCTTCGAGATCATCACCGACACCATGGTGTACTATGTGGGCGAGACCGGCGGTGGACAGTACCACAACCCAGCGCTGGCTGCCTCGGGGGTGGGCCCGGACGTGGCCCAGGGCTGGGAGAGGGCCATCCGACAGGCACTGATGCCCGTCACCCCCCAGCCCAGCGTGTGCACGACGGCGGGACAGGGCAAGGACCACAGTGAGTATCCAGTTGGGTTAGGGAATCGGGGGGGGGGGGGGGGATGCCAGCCTCATGTTTCCCTTGCCGCTTTGCTTCTGAGTTCCGCTTCTCCCCACCTTGGGAAAACGTGCCGTGTCTGTGACCTGAATCCCGCATTCCTGGGGGGACGGGTTCTGAAACCAGAAGTCACCGGCGCTGTGAGGCAGAACGACGGGTTTGCTGGCTTGAGGCGAGGTGGCCAGGGACCCCCTTCTCTGTCAGGTGCCTGTTTGGCAGCCATGTCTGATGTGTGCCCCAGTGAAGGGGGGGGGGGGCAGAAGAGCCCTGCCGGGTCACAGTGCTGGATTAGACCACTAATGGCTGCTGTTTCTGCAGAGCCTGAACACCTGATAATCTCGCCTCTCTTTATCTCCTATTTTGCAACTCTGTGGGACTGATGTGTGCGTAACGTGCCATGTGCCACCCGTCATCTCGGTTACACGACCGTCACCTTCCATTATAGGCAAAGGAATTGCATCATGAGGGAAAATTGACATTTAATTTTGTAATGACATTTTGTAATCACTTTTTGTAATGTCTGAAAGTGTTCCAGAAAGGGTGATTAATGAAAGAGAGCGTAGGGGGGCCATTGCACAACACAAACCGGGGTTTTCAGTTATATACGTGAAAATATCTGTGTGTACAAAAGGGGGAGGGGATGCAGGGAATCGACAAAGAAGCCTGATCCCCCCCCCCAGCCGCAGGACCGTCTGGATGCAGTTAGTCCCCCTCCCCAAGCCCTGCGCGAGCCAGACGCTCAGCTCGCAGTAAAGTGAACCAGATGAGCATGGCCTCCTCTCGCTTCGGGGCTTTGAAACAGCAGCCGGCCGGCTCCTTCTCCGGCTCTGACCCTAACCGCTCTGAAAGCCAGCGGCAAACCCCTCCTAGCCTCGGAGAACAACCCCCCCATGATAATCGATGCCGGCGCGCTCCCGGCGGTCTCCGAAACCGCCGCCGTTCTTTCTTTTCCCGAGTGTTGCGGTCACGGCGACCGTATTCGACCGGAGGTTGGTGGGCTCTTTCCCTGGTCCTTATAACCACGTGACACGTGCCGCAATTCGGGTAAAATATCTCCTTGTAATTTGCGAATAGAATCGATTGCCACAAAGCATCACTGAAAACATTAAGGTATAGGATACAAAAGCCTGCATTGTAATTATCATCAGACACGGGCATAATTGCTTCTGCTATTACTACATAATTATCATAATACAGTAATGCATATTTAGTCTGACCCTTATCGAGACATTTGTTTTTGTGTTTACAAAGACCTAGTGTGCGGAGACCTAGTTGCATTGAATTTGTAAATTGTGCTCATGGTAATATTTCTGCTGATTTCTTTTTGATAAACTCCTCATCTCACTTGCTCATTGAACGCCACCAGAACGCCACGCTTCACTGACATCACGTGTATATGTCTTTCTGCCACCAGAAGAGTTGTCCATCAGCATATCCGTGTCTAACTGCCAGATTCAGGAGAATGTGGTGAGTGCGGCGTTTTTGTTCACCGTTTACAGCCATCGGGTCTCTTTTAATTCTTCTTTATGGTCTATTTCACAATTTTATCGACGCCATAAGGAGCGTGGTGGGCATATGTGGCATTACCCACTGAAAGGGCAAGATAATCACAAGGTTAGAGAAAGAGAGACTAGAATTTATTTTTATATAAAGGCTGATACCTCAGAGTAGGTTCCTTGATTTTCTGGGGATCTTTTGGTGAAATTGCTGACTTTCAGAGTTACACCCAGGACAAAACAGAGATTCAGAACAAGATAGATTTTTGCTGGCTGTAATTAACTATTTTGGTAACACTTTCTATGAATGCCATGTCTGTAAGAATCTATGAATACATTCATAACACATTATTATGAATTCATTATAATGAATTCAGTATGCACTCATTGTAAACATTTCCATGAATATTTATGAAAAGGCATAACATGTTATAGATATATTTATTATGCATTATGAATGCTTTATGAAGCTCTCATCTATAATGACCCATAGATACCTTTATAATGCAGTACAAAACATCCTTAATGCTTATACCGACCATTATAATGCATTATAAAGGTATGTATAATGCATTATAGCTTATGAAGTATTATAATCAACACTATAATGCCTTATGACTGTTATTAAAAGATGCTGTCATACTTTATTAATTCCCATACCGACCATTATAATGCTTTGAGTAAAATGTTACCAAAATGTCCGACACATTAAAAATGACATTGAATAATCGCCTAAAGAGGAAGGATCTGTGTTTCACCCGCAGGATATCAGCTCAGTCTACCAGATCTTTGCGGATGAGGTTCTGGGGTCTGGACAGTTCGGGATAGTATATGGAGGTATGGTGATCCTTCCCCTGTTCCCAGCATACAGTAGCTCTCTGTGACCAGGCAGGAATCTTTCTCTCTGAGCAGCAAGGGGAATCGTGACAACAGCAAGTGTGCAATATCTGTTGTGTAGTTTGTGATTGCTCGTGCTTACCATACATGTTAGGGAAGCCTAGCCATCCTGCTGAAAGTTATCTGTTTGTCAGGCAAGCACAGGAAGACGGGGAGAGACGTGGCCATCAAGGTCATCGACAAAATGAGGTTCCCCACCAAGCAGGAGAGCCAGCTGAGAAACGAGGTCGCCATCCTGCAGGTGAGGAGGAAAGCAGAAAGAGCCATAACTGCCACATCTTATCAATGGTGTTGGTAACCAAGCAATATGTTATAGGCCAACGTGGGTTTTTCTGCTGGTCTGCTTTGACATTTCTGTCTAAAAACTGTCATAATTCCTGATAACCTAACTGTGCAAGTGATTCCCACAGAAGGTCAGTTTCCTTGGTTTCACTAAGATCTCCTCCTCTTCCCAGAACCTGCACCACCCCGGCATCGTAAACCTAGAGTGCATGTTCGAGACGCCAGAGAGGGTCTTCGTAGTCATGGAGAAGCTCCACGGCGACATGTTGGAGATGATCCTGTCCAGCGAGAAGAGCAAGTTGCCAGAGCGAATAACCAAGTTCCTGGTCACGCAGGTTGGTGCTGGTGCCACGGCGCCGGTGATTCACTACTTGAGTTTACGTTTCTGATTCCGGAAGTGTGTCTGTTTACGAAAAGCGCGGTCTGGGCCGCGTCCCAGCCCAGTCTGCCACAGCTTGCCATTTGATGCTGTTTCTTTTGTAGGATTAGATGATGTAAACAACAGTAGCTCTTCCATTTAGCATGGATTTGCTTGCTCACAATTAGTGGCTGGGCCATAACAAACCTGTGGTTTACAGGTCGCCCTCAGAATCCCTAAGCTAAACAAGCTGGCCAGAGTCTGGCTATGAACACGGTTCAGCAACGGCCTGTGTATGGTGCCGTCGAGTCCTTTCATGTTATTCTGTGGGGTTCTTTCATGCGATTTCACTTACTGGGCTTGGTGGTCCCACAGATCCTGGTGGCTCTAAGACACCTGCATTTCAAGAACATCGTACACTGTGACCTGAAGCCAGAAAATGTGCTCCTGGCATCGGCCGAGCCCTTTCCTCAGGTGAGTCCCCGCACGTTGCCGCAGCACGGCTTCCAGAACATTCCGGCGACCTCCGTGACGAATGTTGCCTGCTTCCCCAGGTGAAGCTGTGCGACTTCGGCTTCGCTCGCATCATCGGCGAGAAGTCATTCCGCCGCTCTGTGGTCGGCACGCCAGCCTACCTGGCACCTGAGGTTCTACGCAGCAAAGGCTACAACCGCTCACTGGACATGTGGTCCGTGGGCGTCATCATTTACGTGAGCCTGAGCGGCACTTTCCCCTTCAACGAAGACGAGGACATCAATGACCAGATCCAGAACGCGGCCTTCATGTACCCACCCACTCCCTGGAAGGAAATTTCCAGAGAAGGTAAAAGCGGCATTTGATGGCTCACTTGTGGCCGTTGGATACCTGACAATGCGTACTGCACCTAGCTTCGTGACGGTCCTCAGACACAAAAACGAAAAATGTTTTCATTAAATACATTTAATTCTCGAGCTAGACCTTGTCGAAAAGTTCTAACATTTATTCAAAAGACAGAAGAACTGCCTTTAACTTTAACCCAACTATAAAGAGTACTTTAGAATTGCATGTGGCATTTTGGGTTGCAATGGTGAATACAACCATTTGGTCTCTATGGGTCTCCATTTAGTGTAGGAATTTCAGCTGACTTACTAAAGAGCCCCAGTGGAGCTGACCCCCCCAAAAAAGGTTAAAACCAGGTGTGGTGGGTGTTATGTAACTAAAAATACTTGAATCATATTTTTACATGCATAAGTTTTATGTATACATGTATAAATAATATGATGTGAAGTTTTAGAATGTATATTTACTGCATCTGGACACAGAAAAAACAGGGCAGGGATGCCACAGGAGGATATTTTGAGGTGAACTACAATCACAGTGGACAGGCGGGAGGCAGGAGTGGCCCGTCTTCATGTCGTATATGGAGGCTGGGCTGGGTGAGGCCAGCCGTCTGGCCCACCTACGCCTCTGCAGACGCTGTGGCAGCTCTCAAATGAGCAGCCGTGACCTTCAGTGTGTACGGGAAATCACTTACATGTCTTGGGGGGGACTGTTCTCCCTCAACATTGCCCATCACCTCCTCAACAAAAAAAAAGAAATGCATTCTTAACTCATTCTCAAGAGATGAGAAAATAGGAGAGATCTTATCTTTACTGCAGATTCAAATGGGATGTTTCTGTTGTGCTAGCAAAGCAGTCCATAACCTACGCTGCCCCCAGCCACTGGTGATTAATACAGACTGTTAGCTCACTAATTATCTGTACATGAGTGAAAACATTGTGCTTTTCTGTCTGTGGATTCTACATAATTGACTCATTTATTTGCATCAACAGCTACTGATCTGATCAACAACCTTCTGCAAGTGAAAATGAGAAAACGTTACAGCGTGGACAAGTCTCTCAGTCACCCCTGGCTGCAGGTAACATTCTTCCATTGTGGCACTTTGATCAGAAACTGCCCAAAAGTTATAGGACTGTGGGAGAGAAGGTTGGTTTGACGCTGTAGTACAGAACCAAACTGGTGTCTAAATGTCTCCCAGGACTATCAGACATGGCTGGACCTCAGGGAGTTCGAGACACGCAGGGGGGAGCGCTACATCACCCATGAGAGTGATGATGCGCGGTGGGAGGAGTACGCCGATGAGCACAACCTGCCTTATCCAAAACACTTCATCATGGCGCCCAACCTTGATGACATGGACGAGGACCCCTAGAGGCGGGAGGACTGCCTGTCGCAAGCGCCAGGGAGGTAGATATAGGACAACACTCCTGTGAAATATGATTGGAGTTGTTCCCTTCACCAGAAACCAGCTAATGGAGAGTGTGGGATTTGAGCTGGAGCAACGAAGGGGGGCAGGCTTGGACGAACCGGGCCAGAACATGCAGTACCACATGACACAGACAGGTGGCACTGTGTAGGTGCTTTAGCAGTGTGGCACTGTGGGGGAACAATGAACCCGTTACTGACTAGTGACATTAATTTTCAGGGCTTTCCTCTTTTCCCCATTTTTAAACAATTCCTGACATTCCGGGAGAGGTTCTCGTCACCTCCAGTAGACTACAAAAAAAATAATACCGGTAACTTTGAAAGTTTCGCTCGAAACTTGAGTCATATTTGTTGTGTGTGGGAGCGCTCGGTAACCGAAACTGGACGCTCGTTCAACCCAGAGAAGGGCTAAATCCAGGAGCAAACCGAAGATTAAAAGCACGTCGTGCAAGGGCTGTTTTCATAAAGATGTTTTTAAAAACCTCTGCATTAGTAGGTTCATTTTTCCTTAAGCTAAAAGTGCTATTTTTGTTTTCAAAAGAGCCGTTTCTCTTGAATGATTGTGTTGATTGGCGTTTAACTGGAACATGTACTATGAATGCGGTTGGCATTTATGTTGCTTTTCTGAACCATGGCTCGATTATCTGGTGTTCGACTGACCCCAGCTTGTGGACAAAGACGTTGGAGAAATCAAAAGCTGCTACCCAGATGATATGTGTCCCTAAAAACAATTGGGGGTGGGTGGGGTTAACAGTTACTTTAGTTATTTATTCCAAAGTGTATCAATGTGGCAAACGTGAACGTGTTTCCTGTTAACCTGTTTGTTGAAATGACATTTTGTGATGGATATTAATGGTGGCGTTATTTTCAGCAAGAGTGACATTTTCAAGTGTCCCGTGTGTGACATTTCTCCTCTCCTGTGTTTTTTGTAATATCGTTGTAATATTTTGATATATACCAGCCATGCCAGTTAACCCAGCTGAAACTGGCCGTATTATACAGAAATGCAGTTGAAAGACCTCAATTTTTAAAAACTGTTATAATTACTGAGAACCGAAATACGTGTGGCACAAGGGGTTTCTTGTTACTAAAATGCCATTTTAAGATTCTCTTTTATTTTTTTCAGTTTACTGACCACCCATCTAAATCTAAATCTTTTCATTTCTAATTGCCACTTGTCTCTTAGAACAATCCCCAGTGGCTTACAGCGTTAGCTGTTATTTTTTTAATCATCCACCCCCAATCTGTGATGCTATCAAAGAGTTGTGTGTTTACAAGAGGGGAGCAGAAGGAAACAGTTTGTAGGGTGTGCTTAATCCATGGAGCCCCACGTGACGGCCGGGGTATCCCACAATGCACTGTGGGGACTCTGGATCGAGGGGGCTGGCAGAGGAGAAGTCTGAGTCTCAGGGACATCAGTGATCTTGGGTCCTAAATCTGAATCGGGATCCACCGGTACTGATGTAACAGAGATGAAGACTTGAGATCAAAACACTCTGTTTAGACAACTTCCTCATGGCTAATGAGCCAGAGCAAAGGAACACAAAACCCTTCATTTCTACAAACTGTGTCAGGAAGCACCTTCTCCCTGCAGGATTCTCCATTTTCTATTTTTATTAAGCAGCATCATCTAACGTGAACGAGAACTAGAAGATTGATGCACTCTAAATCTGGACTGGAGCTTGTGTACGGTGGTCAGCGGGTGGCATTCTGGAACATTCCGATTGTGTGCATGCATGGGTTTGCTCAGGCCTTTCAGATGCTTATTATTATTTATGTTATTATTATTTTTTACCTTCTTGGAAAGTGCAATCCAAAGAAAAGGACTCAGGCCCTGTAGAGCCTGTAGGTCTCTGTTCAGTACATTCCTCACCGGCTCTCTCTGCTGACACGCTGTCTTGCAGCCTTAATAAACACGTGGAGTGGGGTGCACTGTTGTTGCCGTAGCGCAGATGCCGCCAGTGGAGAGCCTCGTGTTGCGTGAGCAATTCCAAACGTCGCCATTTTGAGCAAAAAAAGGTTCCGTCTCAAACGTGACACTTCCCGAACATTGTGTGTCTGTGTGTTGCACAACGAGCCGCTCTGAAATACCCATCATCCAGCACCTTCTGCGTCTGAGTCCAGCAAGTTTCACGCTGCCTGCAGACCTAAGGGGAGGACGGGAGGAGTCTGAGCGGCTGGTAACATTCACACGAGCCGGCGACCGCACAAACCGACGCCCATGCCTTAAAGAAGGATTCTCGACATGTGTGACTGCTGTCACCTACTCGGTCACAGCTGACAGCACCTGGGCTGGACCCTGCCCCGGGTCACCAACAGAGCATAAATGTGGCACCTGCTTGGCCCACGCCTCGATCGGCACGTGGAGCGGGGAGCAGAATCTATCTCACAATCATGGACAGGCCTTCTGTGTTGCCACTGGACTGACAGGGGTCAGTGTCTGTATAGTTTAGTGCCTACAGATTTAATAAAAGATGTGTACCTGTAACATCACGATGGCCTTCGCTGTAGTTCTTTCCCCGACTGCGAGTGAATCTGGCATTTTTGTAAGTTATTATGGCCGAGTGATGGAGACCAGTGAATGAGTCAC